TCGGGACCCCTGGGGTCTAGTCCCGGCTCTGGGAGGGGAGCGGGGACTGGCTATTGGAACAGGGAGTGAGCGTCTGGCTCTAGCTATTCACTGCCCCAAACTTTTTCACCCAGAGCTTGGCTGGCTGCTGCTGCAGGCCAAGTGCCTAGACATAAACCTCTGCCAACGGGCCAGCTCGGCCCCCCAGCTCGAACTCTGCTTTCCACCCCTCCACTCTGCCCTTCCCGACGGTACCCAGTGAGGTGGGGACGCTGCACACGGGGCAGCAGGAAGCTGTCTGAGCGTGTCCTCACTAGGGGAGTAGTCATATTTAGGGCTGGCTTATGGCCACCAGCTACGCCGGGCCTGGAGTCGCCTACGCTGCCCAGACCACCCCGGATGCTGCTCCCCCGGCCTTCATCCAGGGGATTCTGTTGGGCGCGTCCCCTGCACGGGGCCCAGTCATCTTCCAGACAGACCGAGTGAGCAAGTGGATTTTAGGGCTCTTAGCAACATCAGCTGTTAGCGAGTCTCAGGCTTAGCTCTAGGGATGCTGCAGCTCCGGGTGACTCCCGTCTCTGCCGCTGACTCGCTGGTTTGGTTTTCAACCCTGGGTGCAAATCACTTCATCTGCCTCTGGATTGACTCTGTTTTGAAGTGGCAGCGCGGCAGAAGCATGCGGGGAGGTATCCAGCCATTGCTGGGTGCCACCCGCTTTGAGACCCTCTGTCGAAAGGCGCTCCAGCCGTGGGGCGCTGGGAGAGACTTTTGGGTTCCACTTCTCCCACCTTCAGCCCTCCTGCTCCCTGCTGCTTTTCTCCATGCCCTGTTCTATCAGAGCAGTGACGCCCCCTCTGCGTGTGTCTTGGGGTCTGGAGGGCGTCGGCAGACACAGCTCTCTGCAAATCGACCCCTGGCAGGGCTGTGATTTCACTCTTGCTTGGCAGGGGTAGGGATCTTTCGATGAGGGAGCAGGGGGGCGGGGTGAAGAGCGTCATGACTTTTCGGGTGCAGGTTTCTGAGATCTGCCGCATGTCGCTCTAGCCCCATCACCAATCGACTTCCCTGCCCCACCTATGCCAGCTCCCCTGGGTTGGCTGGCTTTTTGCCTATCACCTACCTCTGCAGCTAGCCCTAGTCAGTTTCCCTCTGTGTCTAGTCAGTTTCGCTTCCTGCTTTTCTTGCATGCCAACAAGTGGGGCCCTCTGCCTCTCCCAGCAGGCTGGGGAAGGTCCTACCCCCCCATTCTCAGGTGTAATATGAACCCCCCTCTTCCGCAGTCTTCTCAGGCCTTTCTGTGCGTCAGTCAGTGCCCCCACCGTGGTGCCAACTCTCGCCATATCTCCTCTTTTCATAGATTCTGAGGCCACAAGGGACCAGCGCCGTCATCTAGCCTGACCTCCTGTGTAACACAGGCCGTAGGAGCATTAGCTCCTGCGGGAGCTAGAGCAGGTCTGTTAGTCCTGATTTAAAACCGCTCTTAAAGCCCCGGCTGCCGGCGTCTCCTGGTGACCTGAGAATCACATTTCAAAAACAAAAGTAAGTTTCTCACCCTTGTGGTTGGGAAGAAAAAGTTGCAACCGTGAAGCAGGGGACCCCAAAAGGCTCAGACACCAGGAGGCTAATGACCCCTTCCCCCCCGCCCCCGATTATTTAAAAAAATCTCACAAGTTTGAAGCGAATCTTGTGATTTTGGGGAGGCAGGTTCCTGATTTCTGAGCAGCTGGGGTTAACTTTGCCCTTCCCTGTCTCCCCAGTTGGAGAGGCACATCTCCGCCCTTCCCCCCACCCTTTAACTGCTGCCTTGGAGCACAGAGGTGTGAAATCGGGGATGCCTACAGCGCTTATCCTCGAGCTCCCATTGGGGCGCTCCCCCCCCATACACACACACACACGCACTTTGTGCTGCTTGCTCTGAGCCGATCCGTGCAATTTGTCCTCTCTTGCGTCCCAGGCTGTCGGACCTGAGACAAACCATCCTCACAGCCCTCCCGCTGCCCCCTGCAGCCGATTTCAGGAGCGGCCCCGAGACGCGGCTAGTCCAGAACCAGCCAGGTCCCGGGCGTGGGAGAGAAGCAGAGACCAATGGGGGGGGGTGCCTTTGGGTACGTCCGGACTGCAACTGGCAGCGAGCCTCCCAGCCCGGGCTGACACTCGCGCCGTGTGGAGGTTGCAGCCCCAGCAGAGACTCAGGCCCTCCCGACCTCCTGGCCGGCCCAAATCACCACTGGAGCCACAACCTGCGCAGTGCTGGGCGTGAGCCCGCTAGCTCCAGTCGTGTGGAAGTCAGCCTGGCGTAGCGTGTTCCCCTCTGGGTCCTGCCGCTGGTGTGGGAGGGGCTGCCCCTTTCCACCCATCTCCATGGCGGTTGTAGCCTGCGAGCAAAGGGTTCACACGCCAGGCTGCTGGCCCGTCACCGACTTTGCCGGGAAACAGGACCGGTGAGTGATGCGCTTAAAACCCAGCAGGGCCCGCCTGTGCACTCCAGCTCTGCCCGCTGTCAGTGAGGGCATTGGGGCTGCGTGATCCCAGGGGCACCTGGCCCCTCAGCTGCCCTTCTTGAAGTTCTTAAGCATCTCCTTGTCATCCCCCAGCCCGAGCTTTGGGACCCCCCCTCGGAGCCTGGTGCCCTGAATCAGGCAGGCGGGCGGCGGGGGGTGTCGTGTGGACTCCCGTTAGCGCTCTGAATCCCATGGGCTGCAGCCGCTTCTCTCTGGAGCCGCCTGGCCCCTCGGTGCTGGGGGTCGTTGGCTTCTCCCCACATCTTGTGCCAACGGGAGCCTGCGGCAAGAAAGCTTTGGGTGCGCAGGGCAGCCTGGGGGACTGAGCCCCGTTAGCAGGATGGGGAGGGGGGCTGGTGAGCCCTGCCCTGGGAGTACAACAAGGGCTTCACAGCTGCCAACTCAGCCCTGATTTCACCCAGATGCCACAGCTGCTGGCGCGTCCGCTGCCTCCCCGGTAGAGGCGCTTCCAGTGGCTTTGGGGTGTCTGGGACCGGAGTGGGGGCTTGTCCAGCAGAAGAGCTTCGCCTCTGGAAGGCAGTTTCCATCCAGCCCCACACCTCGTAGCGCCCCACCGCCCTGTGGCCGGCCGGTCCCTAGCTGTGCTGGGACTCCAGATGGGCTCGCGATCTAAGACAAGCAATGGGATCTGATGCTCGTCGCCAGCCCTGACAGCTGCTCCGGGGCTCGGCGAGGGGAGCGGGGCTCTCTCGGTCTCACCTGTCGTCTCCAGCAACGGAGGTTCTGCCCCCTGCGTCAGGGCCACGCTGCTGCCTGCACGGCCCCCACCGCCTTCGATGGATACACCCCTGGATGGGGGCTCTGGGTTTTGCTGCTGGGTGCCCTTGGGCAAGATACTTCCCCGGCCTGTGCCTCAGTTTCCCCACCTGTGCAGTGGGGCTAATGACACTGACCTTCGTAAAGCTCTTTGAGGTGGATGTTCGGGGGGGGAGGGGCAGCATTGTGCCGGGTGCTGTGTAGACCCAGACAGAGATCGGGGGGTGTGTGTGCAGGGGGGTTCTGTTGGGTGCAGGGAGAGACAGTCCCCACCCCAAAGAGCTCACAGCTGGAACAAACAAAGTTTGTTCACCTGGCCACCGCCCCCAGGTTGGAGGGTGGGGGGGAAGGGGAGCGGGTCTGTGATGGGCTGGGCTGACAGACGTCTGCTCTTCTGGGCCAGGAATCAGGTGCAGGGACTGGGCCCCTCTGTCTCTGGCCGCTGCAAAAAGGGAACCGAAGAGGTTGGGCCCAGATCCTCCAGGGTGGTTTGGTGCCTAGTTGACGTTGGTCCGGGTGGAGTTTGGGACCTCGATCCCTTTGCCAGGCTGGGCCCTGGTCGGTGCCCAGGTTTCAGTCCCTGGCGACGGGGCATCAGCCTGGAGTCCTGGGACTGGGGAGGTGCAAAGTCCTGACTTGTGGGGCCGGGTTTGCCCCTTTGCGGCCTTTCGTCCCCGTCTGTTATTGTGGGGTGTGTCTGTCCCCCCTGGTTCTAACTATCTTCCCCCTTCCCTTTCAGAACCTCACCTCTCAGAACGGCAGCTCGCCCAGCGGCACTGTGGTATAACCCGGGGAGCGCCCGCCCCTGACTCGGTGCCAGCTTGGCTGCCTGGCACTGCCCAGACTCCAGGCCCTCGTTATTTAACGCTAATTGACACTGCGTGGCCAGACGCTTCCCATGGTGGTGAGCCGCTAACAGAGGTTTAATATATAGATCCCCGTCTACAGAGCACAGGCCCCTCCGCTGGCCCGGCCCACCCCCTCCCTTAACGTATTAATGGCCCCCTGTTTAAAGCTTTGTGGAACTTCAGCCCTGGAGTGATGGGAGCAGAGCCGGTCTCCCCAGAGCCCTCACTTTGCACAACAGCCTGGAGTGCTGGAGCTGCGAGCCGCCCGGGGGGGGGGGTGTGTGCTTTCTGCTGCCTCAGTTTCCCCAGAACACTCTGGAGTGGCCAGAAGGGCCCCTACAGGCCGGCACTACCTGCTCTTCCTCTGCCAAGGGACGCCCACCCTGGAGCATACACAGTCCTGGAGACCTGGTACCCTGCCTCCCCGTGGCCACAGGCTACCGCCGGCGTCCCCAGCACCACGTGCTGCTCTCCCAGATCCCTTGCGGGCAAGCCGGGCTTCGGCCTGAGCCAGCGCTCGCTCTGGTGGCTGAAGTGAGGGGAGCCTGCCTGTCTCTCTGTCTGTCCTCACCCCGCAGGGCTTCTGCGCCCGCTGCTACTACTGATCCCTGGGCCCCGAGGCGGCAGGGCTGAGTGGAAAGGTGCCCAGAGGGCAGCAGATTGGCAGATGTCTCCTCCTCCCCTCTGTGTGCGTGACCCCCAAAGAGCTGGAGAAACCCCAGGCTGCTGTGCCAACACCCTGCGTTGTACCCACTCTGGGCATCTGCACTGTGCCTGGGCAGAGCGGGGAGCCGGCCTCGTCAGGAGCCAGCCTCGGCACGGGCACTGCCATGCACCTGGGCTCTCGCCGGCCTCCCTGGAGCTGTGGGTGCTCACGGCACTGCCAGGCTACAGCGACTACCCCCCTGACTCTAAAGCCTTGGCCGCGAGCTCCAGCTGGGGTTGCCCGTGTGCTCTGCTGAGCTCCTGTCCCCAGGAACGGCCCCCCCTGGGCTCACATAGAATCACGGGGGGGGGAACAGGACACTGGGTGGGACTCGGCCCCAGCTGCCTGAGCGACAGCCGCTGCCTCCCCCGCTGTGGGAAGGCTGGTAGGAGGTGCACTTTTCGCTGGGCTGGGCCTGGGGAACTCCCCACCACTGGAGCAGGCGACCCCGCCCCCCGGGAGCTGAACCAAACATCCCGTGAATCCCTGTGGCTTGGTTTGTCCTCGCCCCTGCTCGCCCTACACCCAGCCTGGGCACTGGGAGAGTCTGGGCAGCACAAAGAACAGTATTAGCCTTGGTGTCCCCCCATGGCCACTCACCTCTGCCCTCTAGTCCCCTCCCCCACTGGCAGCCCTCTGGGGCTCTGTGTGGGCACCATGTGGCCCTACTACTGCTGGCCCTGGGGCGCCTGCCCACTGGACGCCCCCCAGCAGCCCACGCCCCTTGTCCCCCCCCCCCCATGTGGGAGGCAGGGCCCGCAGGGAGTGGGACCCCTCTGCCGCCTGTTCCCCTTGTGGCTGAATGTCTAAGTTATGGAGCTGCGGTTCTGCAAGTTCTTATTTATACTAAAGAAACAATTTTCACAGCACTGCCCCCTGCCTCCGCTCTGTCTGCGCCTGCGCTGCCCGTGGGGCTAGGACAGGTCCAGCCCCAGCTCCTCTCTTGGTACCGAGGCGGGGCAGGCTGGGCCCATCTGGCCACCTGGCTATTTAAAATAATTCCCTTTGTAAGCCGGGTGCCAACCAGGAGCAGGGCCCCTTGGGCTGGATACTAAACAGACACAGTGACTGAGATTGGGGCCCTGTCGCGCCGGGCGCTGCCCAGACACACAGTGACCGAGATCAGGGCCCCATTGGGCTGGGCGCTGCCCAGACACACAATGACCGAGATCGGGGCCCCGTCGCGCTGGGCGCTGCCCAGACACACAATGACAGAGATCGGGGCCCCGTCGGGCCGGGTGCCACCCAGACACACAGCAACCAAGATCAGGGCCCCACTGTGCCGGGCGCTGTCTAGACACAAGTGGTAGGAAAATGCGTAGGGATCTCTGCCCCGGCCACTGAGATGCAGCCACCTCTGGGGTGGAAGACGGCAGCTGCTGTAACTCACAGAGCAGCATGACCTGCCGGGCCAGGATGGACAGTGAAAATGTCTGGGCGCGTTCGAAGCCATGGGGGCCGTGAGCGGAGCTGGAGTTCGGCCAGGCCCCTGGGTGAAACGGCTTGGTACTGGGCAGCGTGTGTCCTGGGCCCCCCCTCTTCCAGCCCTGCCGGTGCCCCTCCCAGCCCAGCCCTGCCGGTGCCCCTCACTCCCAACCTGCAGCCCCTGGCTATCCCAGCCCTGCCAGTGCCCCTCACTCCTGACCCACAGCCCTGGGCTCCCCCCAGCTCTGCTGGTGCCCTTCAGTCCAACCTGCAGCCCCCTGCCAGCCGAGCCCTGGGCTCCCCCCAGCTCTGCCGGTGCCCCTCACTCCCGACCCACAGCCCCCTGCTAGCCCAGTTCTTCCCCAGCATCAGCCCCCTGCTCAGGTCTCCCTGCGTGGGGCTGGCAGCGTGGGCCGTCCCAGCTGGGCTGCACTGCGATGGCTGCGGCAGGGCCCAGCAGTGGCTGGTTGTTGGGGCTCGGTGGGGCAGCTGCTCATGCAGGACGCCCCTGGGCTCCCCCCCAACCCCCACCCTGGAGCCTGACCGTGGGCTCAGTAGCCTGAGCCAGGCAGGGCGAGGGGTGATGTGACTGGAGTCTGGGTGGGGGGTGCACGGGGGGGGGGATGGGTGAGTGGCTGCATGTGGGGCGAGGGGGATGGGTGTGTAGGGATGTGAGTGGGTGCGTGTGGGATGGGTGAGTGGGTGTGCATGGGGGGGATGGGTGAGTAGGTGCATGTGGGGCGAGGGGGATGGGTGCGTGGGATGGGGGGCTGGTGGGTGGGTGCACGTGGGGGGGAAGGGTGTGAGTGCGTGGGGGGATGGGTGAGTGGGCGTGCGCAGGGGGGGAGGTGAGCGGGTGCCTGGTGGGAGGGTGGCTATTGCAGGTGCATGGGGGGGGTATCGGGAGTGGAGCTGGGGGGGCATATTGGGGTGGCCGGGCGTGGGGGACGGCTCAGTGTGTGCACCTGGCCTGTTCCTCTGTCACGGTGCCCGCTGCCCATGGGCCTGGCCCTGAGGCCTGTTGCCCCCCCCCCCCCCCCCCCCCCCCCCCCCCCCGTCCCCGGGGGGGGGGCAAGTGCCCCTTGCTGGCCTGTTCCCCACACCCAGGCCCAACCTCCACCAGGCCGCATTTGGCCTGTGGGTAAAGCCCCATCGTCCCCACTCGGGGGCACTTGCTTGGTTGGCCTGCTGGGCTGGGGGTCAGCCCCATTGAGCATAACCCCCCCAGCAGGGGGCAGAGCTCGGCCCCAGTGGGGTTGGGGCCTCAGGGGCTAGCGCAGCAGCATCGCGCTCAGCCAGGAGGGGGCGCCCCCGGGCCAGCCAAAGGGCCACCTGGCAGGAGCAGCTGGAGCGGGGTCTCAGCGGAGGAAGCCCGGGCAGCCGCGCCCCTGGCCCTGGCAGGACGGGCCCTAAGGGGCCTGGTGGCACAGCCGCTCAGGCTGAGGGGCCCTGGGCCGAGCCCCCAGCAGGGGCCGTGTGGGGCCCGGATCCCCAGCCTCTCGGCACGTCCACCATGGCAGATCCCTTCAGCCCAGGCTCCCCCCGTTGGTGCTGGGGCGGGCGGCGCTGATCCCCCCCATGCTCACACACGAGGCTGGCGCCGGGCTCCCCGCCCCCGGGACGAATTCAACTTTTTTATTCCCTCTCCACAGTTCAGACAAAGCCTCCAGGCCGGGGCCCTCGTCCCGCCTCCGACCCCCGGGCCCGGCTGGCGCCGAGGGCCAATAAATACACGGGGGG